TAATCCCCAATCTATATCGGTCAAGGTCCGATAAGACTGTTGTCAAGGCGCCGGTCCTGTAGAAAGATCCCACATTCCAAGTTCCGATTGTTAAGTTCGTTAATCTATTATTCATCCGAGGCATGGTTAGCTGTTTCTTAACAATTTATTTTTTACGCGTGGAGTCGTTGGCCCCACGGCAACCACCGTTAAAGGAGGATCCTACACCATGTGTGGTGACGGAGGGCGTGGACGGGCTTCAGTATCACGATCTTAGCGATTACCTACTTACCGGAGACGACCTCTGATGTCCTTCAGACTACCCGTCCACATAACTGGAGACCGCGGGATTGTCACACCCGTTACCCATGTGGGTACCCCATACAAGGATAATATTATAACGACAATATTATCACATTATCATTATCATTTTGTTGTATTTCGGCATCTGTATTTACTATTTAGTACATAACAAGACGACACATATAATTAAGCATATATTTAAGCAATTTAATTTAAAAAAAAATAATTATTAAATTTTAAATATAAAGTGTGCTACACATATTTTGTGTTGGCGGTCGATACAGCATACTATTCAATCGCGTTATCGTTAGTTCAAACTTATTGGTTCATTATTATTATTGGTCTATAGCTCACCTCAATTTTATTTAATAAACTGTTCTAATTGTTCCATAAGATGACAAACAAAATTCTATTTTGTTTTATACACTTCCACCTACTTATAACTTAACTGCAACGTATACGAATGTTGTACTTCTCAAATCTCACACACAGTGCATAACATGCGTTTCACATGAATTAAATATTATGGTTACATAACGCATCGGTTATTATTACCTGCATTTATAACAATTTATTTCCTAGTAAATTTCTTAGGGCAACAAATTAAATTGAGGCACGGCGAGCTATTCAGAATATATTTTGCAACTAGAACGCTAATAATATTAACCACCGGTTAGGTTTAACTTTCTAGTGATATCATATACTACTACATACATTAATATAGTTTACTAACACTTAATGGTGTACATTACATAGAGTACATGGAACAAATTCCTGAAAAAAAGCATTTAGGAACTACCGCTGCCGAAAATAATAATAAATTATTAAAATATAGAATTAACGGTCAAGTCTCTCACAAGGGCCTATCGGTATACAAATAGGCAGTAAATTTATCCCAAAATAAATTAATCCTTTAGTATTTAAATAAATATTTATAGTATAAAATTGGTATAGGTAACATTTTTAAATGATTCAAAAAATCATTATGACATTATATAATAAAAAAAAACTAATTGCCAAAAAGGAAAAGTTATTAACATTATACATTTTGTGCTGAAAAGCAAAATACGACAAACTTCTAATTTTCATTTCTTAAAAATGTGTAGGTACATAACTGGAAAAAAAGAAAACATTTGTAGATTTTAAAATTAATGGAACAAAAATTGTTATACAAGGTTCTGATTATAAGCCAAATCACATACTAGTTTTATTTTTCTTTTCAAATAAATATTAAAACATTGAATTTAAATTACTACTAAAAGCACACTGCGAATTTCTTATTAAATCATACAAAATGTTACTAATATAGCTTTTTTAATCAACCATTAATATTTAAAAAGAAATACTTGATATAAAATTTACAAATAATAGTCAAGCACCAAGTTTTAGTTTAATTTTATATTTCACCATCATATTTTCGTAATGCATATAAAATGCATAATTTGGGTAAGATTAAAAAATATTAATGAACTAAAAGCTTGACATTTGAACTACTATAATACAAAAATACAATCAAATATAATATATAATAATCTTTTAGTTTATATGAAGAGCTACAAATCAACAACGTTCACAAAACAACAAGTCTAACTCAAATTTACGTTAAAAAAAAGAGTAATCAACTTTACATAAAATGGAGTGACTTTCAAGTTAAATAAAACTACTATGTTTTTAAGATTTAATAATAGTTCTAAAAAATAAGTTTTTATAAGATAATATTACTCGACACAAAATTTTGAGTTCAAATAACGCTGATTATATCCGTCTCAAAGATTCCAAGTAGAAAGAAACATTACTTATAATAAATCTTCATCTAAAACTAAATAATTATAACAATATTATTAACTTACATATTTATGTTCCTATAAGATATTTAATCTAAGACAATATTATCAATATTTTGTATGTTTATTGGTTTACAAGCCAACTGTGTCTTCAATATAAAGACATAATAGTAAAAATACAAGATAACAATTTAATCAGTTCAAAATACAATAGATTTATGAAATATGCATACATATATTATATACGCACTTTTTTTGGGCATAATAATATAATATAATATAGGAAGGTTAGGTTGGAAAAAAATTTGTCGAAAGTGTAGTCTAATTATAATCAAAAATTATGGCAATTTTATGAACTGCATTGGCGTTTAAGTCTGAACAATTTCTGACTTAAAAACATTTTAAACTAAAAAAAAAGAAAGCAAAGTGGGGTCAGGGCTCGTATAAGAAAGACATATTGTTGTTATTCACAATTTGTAGACAAATATAATGCTGTAAATAGTAAATGTAGATTATTATTTACAATCAAGGTAGGTTAGGTAGCTACAGTAGTAAACTTGTTGAGGTTGATTAAAATTCTTACTTTATACAGTTTTGTGATGCTAACTATTAACTTAACCAAAATCCGTCAAATCAATTAATTCAAGATCATTTAACAACTCAAAGGTCTGGCTTTTGTTTTAGATTAAACATAATTAACATAAGGTATTTTGTTATAAATTAATGCAGAAACCGATTAGTCAATTCTAATTAATTATAACACATCATTATATAATTTATGTTATTTGAATTTTAGTATTTCAATACAGCTAGATTTATTTCTAATTCCAATATTTGTAATCGTTGAAACAGTTTTTGTAAAACTATACTTATTTAGCAGTAGTGTGTAGAATAAAATAATCTAAACTCCGCTTCCTAAGTAACGCATGTACACGATAAATTGCAAAAAAAAAAAATGAATCTGTTGTGTAAATAAATGAACATAGTTACAATACAAAAGCATATTGGAGTACTGTTTTTCTGGTCGAAGTATAAGCCCAACCATAAGTCGCAAGCAGTATATTTAGTTTCAAAAGCTGAACAAGTCGATTGTTGTCCAACAACCTCTTACCAAATCTTCAGTTTAAGTAAGTATTTCAATTAAACTCGTAAATGTTTAATTATATAGCGTTATAAAACAGTAATAAGGATTTTTTATGATCATAACTTAAAAAGTTTGAGCAGTACAAAGATGAAAAAAAAAACTTTGTAAGGAACTAAATTCATATAAGTTAACAAATTTATTTTTTATTTTTTTTAATCGTTAAAATTAAAAACAATTTTTTTTTTTACTTTGATTTAATTTTTAAGAAAAATATTAGTCAGTTTTTTCCAAAAACAAAAAATTGAAAATAAAACCACAAAAAAAAATTAAAATCGGATTATAGAAATGTGAAAATAATGATTTCTATATTTATAAGAGCGTAGCTGCGGTCTAGAAAATAAATGCCTATATTTAATAAAAAAAAAATTTTAATGCTAAAATGTTGGAAAAATCTATTTTCTTATTTGATTTTGTAAAAAGCATTTATAATTTATTTATTGTTTGATACTTGCATACACATTTTAAATTTAATATAACAATTATATAAAAAATAGGTTTTTATTATCCGCGTATTTAGTTTTTTTGTTCATCGTTAAAAAAAATTAGTCTCAAGCTTATCAGGCTCAGTAACATTTTTTGATATAAAACATTTTTTTATCAATTTTATGTTTTATTGTAATCTATATAAAACGTACAAAATATTTTTAAAAAAGTTTTACAATTATCTTGTAAAGTTCTTGCTAGTACACTATAGTGTAGCCTAGGTCTAAATGGATGTTACTATAGATTAATACATTTATTTATTTATTTATTTAAAGTAGGTACACTATATTAACCCGGGGGTCTGACAAGGTTAAGTGAAGAAAAATGTTCAAAAAAAACTCTAATATTCCCTTTAAAAATTAAGTTAAAATAATGAGAAATGTTTGCACGTTTATAAGTTTTTAATTTAAAAGATTTTAAAACAAAACTTTAAAAACAATTTTGTACACAGAAAATCTATATAATTTTGATAAATAATCCTTTTTTGACTTGGACGAAATCTCTCTATACATAAAATTCTCGTGTCACAGTGTTTGTATAAGAAAACGATTTATTAAATTTCATCATTTCAATACATCATAGTATATTGTTTGAAAATATTTGTTAATATTTTTTATAACGGTAATAACTATATTTATAAAGATATTATTTTAAAACGGATTTGACATTCTCTCTAAAATGTTATGTTCGGTATAAGTCTACTTTACCGGACACCCTTTTTTCAGTTTTTTTTATAATTACTAGTATTTTGCATGCCGAATACGAATATGTAAACATTTTGCCCCGCTCGCACTTAGCTAAGAAGCTACAGACTTTTAAAGTTCGCCGATATCGACATACGCGCTCGCCCGGCACCGCACGTCTACCCGCGCCCGCCGGGTACTTCGTCTCGATTATGATCGGATTCCTCGTCAACCTGATTCCAACTTTAAAAGTCTGTAACTTCCAAACTATTAACGAGTGCGGCTTGTTCCCCTAATTTCTATTTTGAATAGTGTAACCTAAGTTTTATACTATGCAATTTAAATAGTCAAAAGACTTATTTTTATTTTTGTCCATCCTTAGTATAGTGAAATTACTGTATAGTTGGCCAAATAATCAACCTTTCTAGTTTGATTACTATCTTATATACAAAAAAATCAGTTAGTGGTTTTGGAAAAATTGTGGGTCAGGTAGAAAAGTGTTAATACATATATATGTATTCATAACCCATTAAAACGGCCTCGCAAAATTATAACCTTCTCATCTCTAAACCGGAGGTAACTGTGACTAATATATAATGTTTTTTTATTTATTATTATTCGCAGATAAAAATGAAACTCTTCTGTTTATTAATATCTTTATTCTTTATGGAAGTTTTGGCACCTTATGGTAGTTATTTTATTATCACAGTTATACACTTAAAGAAGTTAAATTTGAAAAAAATCAATATTACACTTTTTTACAGATCGTTATATGGAATTAGTTCACATTACAAGTCAGTAACATTTTTATTTTTAAAACAAATGTTTTCTAAGTTTTTAAAATTTACTGTTTTTATACATATTTTTAAAATTGTGTCACAGCTATTGGCATCAAACTTGCTTATGAAAAGAATGATTTAACTATAGGAGGTAGATCTGAAGCAAGTAAGATGTAATATTTTAAATAATATGCTAATATATAAAAAAGCTTTGTATTTGATTTAATTTTAATATTTTAGTATAGCATAAATATTCATTTTTTTATTCTAGATGGATTGGAGTATCTAATAGAGACAATGGTTGATAATGTCAATAATGACCTGACCTACCAAAATTTCCGTAATCATAGTTATAATAATAATAAAAAACATCAAGATAAGAGTAGAAAAATATATTTGAAAATTATATAAAGACTTCATCTCATATTCACTTTATGCAACTGACTAGTTTTATAATTATTATATTTTTTACCGAAGTTTGAATAGAAGCTTTATGAAAAAATACTGATGAAAGCTCTATCAACCTCGTTTGATTAATATATTTTATTCTCATCGCATAAAATACATCAACTAGTCTATATAATATAGTTTTTCTACTTTGACTTTTGCCTTATAATTTATATATAAATAATGTTATAACTACTAATTCATTATAGCAAATTCAATTCAATATCATTTATTAATTTAATGTTAATTTCAGGCCATATTAATTTTTTGACAGCTGTACTGGGTAATACATTTTGTTAAATTTGATAAAATTATTTCTAATATTTCATTCCTATTGAATTCGCCAAAGAGACACTAATTGAATATACAGTGAAACGTACTTATTCCAAATTACTAGCACACATGTTTTTTCTTCCTTGAAATTCATCATCCTGTTTATAACAGAATAGAAAATTCAATGCAATTACACTAATTTTTGTGTTGTTAATTTCAGATCATCCAGAAATTCTCTTGAGAAGAACAGGTAATACATTTCATTGCACTTTATGGAAGCGTTTCCAAACAGTTGTTTAATATTCTTTATGCACACGAGATTTTTGTATTAATTTCTGAACCTCCAGTTCACCTAACGCAAAATAAAATCCTTTTTTCATATATTATATATTTATTATACTTATTGCATATTTGTTATTTATAATTACTTTGAGAATAATAATATGTCCTATTGACAAATACCAATATGATATATCGGTCTCAATAATAAAATATATGGGGGTACATTAAAATGTATTTTGTTTGAAATTTTAGAAGTCTATGATGATTTATTCGACAAAATGATTCAAGACATAGAGAGTAAATTAGGTAAATATAAAAAAGAATGTATTTTTAAATTAAAAAAAAACTATATATGTTTTATGTTTAAGATTTTAAAAAATCATTCGAAATAAAATTTAAACCGTTTGTTTAAAAATCGTTATACAATATAAATTTACATTTATACAATAATACTGCGCATTAATTAATATTGATCTAATTGACCTAGTGGATGTTATGTATAAAATATATAAACCGGGACTTATTAACAGCAGAATAATTTGATGTTTGATGTGTTTGTTACAGGAATTGATATGCCAGGAGATTATTTCGGTGGTATGTACGATTGGTCTGATATTCATAAATAGCCTTTAAAAATTGTTTTAGAGTTGATCTTTGCTTAATTTTATTTATTATATTTTTTGTGTCAAAAAAGAATTGTAATAAATTCAACTTTTTGTTGGGGAAAGAGGGGCAGAATGTGAGACTACAGTGTTAATGTGTAATAAATTCTTCGCGATTTGAATTATAGAAAAAGTAGGAGGTTCAACAATAATATATGGTTGTACAAAAAGTTAGTTGTATCACAATTATGCGAATAATATATTATTTATCTTAATTATGTCTCCTCAACACGGTCTTTTAATAATTATTGTCATAGTTGAGAAAAAATTGGAAAACCTTGCAAACATGAGAAGAGACTTTGTTGCTTGGTCTTTAAAAAGTATAATCAGACGTCGTATGCTAGGTAAATATTATTATGGAGTTGTATGATTTTTGAACGCTATTAATATATTTATTTCAAGTAATTTGATAGGACAAGGGTACAACTTATTTTAGATTTTCACAATTAGCTAAATAAATTATAACTACTTACACGTACTTTCATGTAATACAAATATCATGGCTGTTCAATACGACACCATGCCTATTGTATAATTTTTTTATGACTTCGTATTGACTTATAAAATATTTGTTTTTTGTACCATAAGGATAAGTAGTAAGCTAATAATAACAAATTAAAAAAGAAATGTTTCAAATTTTTGATCAGGATCTGTACTGGATATAGAAGATGACGCCTCTCTATTACCCAATTGTCGTTTGATAGGAATATACTTCAGTACACAACAACCAAGATCATACATAAACGAAGTTAACGTTGACTCGCCTAGCCGTACATGTATCATAACAAGTTGTGATAATCACCTAATGAAAATCAGGAAAATCGATGCTACATGGTCAGTTTTTAGCTCAAATGGCCTTCACAATACACTCGAGTATTACTTACAACACGGACGTCCACAAACTGCACCCACATACTAACCCAATGTCAGAAAAACACTGGCATCCTTATTCTGTTCTTTACATAATATATTATAGTTCATCATATTATTATCACTATATACACTATATAATCAGAAATTTTAAAATATTATACATATATTTAAGCTGACGGGAAAACAACCGTCTTAGGATTTTTTCAATAATATATTTCACATAATACATTTTTTGTATAGTAAGTACGTAATGCTATAAGCCTATTTCTGTATCATGTCAGGTCTATCAAAAAAATAAATAATTACCGAATAAGTAAAGTTGTATTTTTTTTTCATATAATCTATTCCAACTATTTATTACTGCTTCTAAATCCTTTCCTTGTATTTCTACCTTTATTAAATGATTGTGCAAATTTGGTTGACAGGTTCATCGTTTATATTTCTGATAGATAATTCATCTTAATGGTTATTATATAGAGATTGGATGCTATAGATTATATTATCTAAATTTAGTTCTAATGTTGAGTGGCTAAGTAAAACAGTGTAGAATATATTATTTATATTGTATAGCCAGTTGTGGAAAAAATGTCTCGCTGGTCAACCTCAATGGTATTGGATTGGCTTAATTATGACTAAAATAAGAACAATGCATCATACGAAAACTAATCCTACATAATATTTTAAATTGAAAAATAATGTCTATTTCAATTTTTTTATAGACTTACTCTTTTTGTTTTTTTTTTATAGAATTTGAGTTTTTAACTTTTAATTTTTTTTTAAATATGTAATATTTTTTATATTGGAGGATGGTACAAAAATCAATTGTAAAAATTTAATGAATCGTTTAGACTTCATTCTTTTGGGTTAAATTAGCTGGTCCAGTATTACAATTTATAATTATGATTATTATTCTAACTATGCTAATACGGCCAGGGAACTTAAAGAGATTTAAGTAAATATTTCACTTGTTTGAATAAGTGTAGTAAATTTTTCTAACGGAATTAGAAATCGAAATGTTCATTTTTAATGAACTCCAATGTACGAGACATTATATTAACAGCGCCAGCAAAATATTCCCGTTTACCGATGCGTAGGTATTAGAGTACTCGAATATATATTTGGTTTTTTTCATGTACATATATTAAATCCTATATATATGTATGCTAGTATCATATAAGTGTATTTTGTTGATCTGTGATATAGGTACAAAAAATAAGGATTTTTTTTTAGATAAATAATAGAGCTATAATTGCAAAAATGGATTTCGTTTAACAAAAACATATTGTTAATTACGAATATATTTGCCGGTATGCTATTATTTAGTTAATTTTTCACTAGATTATTGTTATTTAACACTATAATTTTATTCTGTTGGTATGTATATTAAAGATATAGAAGTATCCACATATGAGTTATAAATGCTAATCGATTGTTAGGAATACAAATATATTATAGAAACATATTTAAGCCCAAAAATTATTTTATTTTTATGTAGGTGCTCCTATTTTTCCGTGAGTCGGGAGCGGTCGTAGTACATGGCACCAACTCCGATTTAACGAGATAAAGCAATATAATGAACAAAAGTAGATAGATTTTCTTGCTTCACGTGGTAGTTACAGGATAGGTCGATTCATTAGAACGATAATATTGGTATTAGAAGGTAAAGGACTATAAAATATAAATAAATTTAAAAAACAAGTATGAGTAATTTTAAGTTTTTTTTTATGAGGGTATTAGATAGTAATATTTAAATAAAGTGGTTTATTCGAATTTCGAATACAAGGATTAATTGCTCGTTAAGTAGATGTACAGTACTAGAGGTTTAGGTGTAGAACGTCTTTTCTACATTACTTTTTTAGACTTTTGTTAAACTGGACACCAAGCGTATCTCTCTCACGAATGGGCTTGTAGCTGTTGGGCTTATATATTTTAACATCGCCATTCTTCTGCTATTTTTACCGCTATCATCAGTTAGCATTTATTGCCGCTACATTATATTTGCCACATGTTTTCCAAATTGACGCCACATTTATACAAGACAAGTCAGAATTCGGAATTTATTATAACGATCTTCTAGAGCATAAAGTAGCTAATTTTGTTTCTATTAAAGCGGATCAATTTTCGAAAAAAAAAAGTAGTGCACTACATCTGTTAGGCTCTTTGAGTTATTTATTATGTGGCCAGTTCGGATTAACTCCGTCCATTTTTACTTGATCTATTTGGCATTATGGTTTTCTCGGCTGATCACCGATATTTATGTTGGTTAATAATCAAATTAGTGTCGCTTTAAAAGGTTGTTACACTGTGTATTTTATATTATTTTATTATGACAATTTAATGAAACGTTTTAACTTATTTACTACATAATTTTACTTTATTTATCTCGCGTTAAATTGAAATGAATATGATATTCAGCATATTAGCTGTACTCCGTTTAAGTCGGTTGGTGTTATATTTTATTATGTATAAAAAATTAAATAATAATAACCCATTTGATATATTATTAACGTATGAAGGAATCCTGAAATTTATTTGTGATGGAACTTATATAAATAATGAATACTCATTTTATACTAATAAAATCTAAGGGAAATACTTTTAAAAATAATAATTATATTAAGAATGATAAATTATGCAATTTGATATTTCACAAACATACCTTATTTAAATTTATACATATATGTTATTGTTATTGTTGTACGGCACATGTTTTAATAACTAAATGAGTTGTAGGCACCCAAATGGTACACAGATCAACAAATAATTCAAAACTATTATAATTAAAACTGTCGTTTTCACGACAAATTTACTAATACATGTAATTTTCATTTATTATGTATAAATATTTAAAAAAATAAATGTTACTTGACCTACTGACTTAATCTAACGCGCAATATAAGCGACTTCAATATTTTTTTAAGGTCAAAGGTATTATTGTTTTTTTTATCGTCGCGTAAATTACCCTGGGTCCTATATTTTTACGACTAATAAGCGTTTCTCCGTAGTCTTCTTTTCTGTTTCTCTTATAAACATTTTATGAAATTTATTTTATTTTAAGATTATTATTGTTTTATTTTGTATAAGCTAAATTAACAATATTATTATTATTTTTTATCCCTTAAAGGCGCAGATCTAAAATCAAAATTTAATAAATAAGACAACTGTGGCATCTATAGAAGCCAACATTATAAAGACTGTAAACGCGCAACAATATTATATTTGAACATTCTACTTTTACGTAACTGTGGCATACATAGTAGCCACATTTTTATCAATATAAAAACAGCTGTAAAGTTAATCTGTTTTTGGTAATGTTTATCTATATCGATAAAATATTATCAACGTAACCTTCGTGACCATATAACATATAATATTGTATGGTGATAACCGTATTATAATCGTGATTATCAAAAGTGGCTTGTACAAGTGCCACTGATTGATTAAAGTGGTTCTAATTTCAAGTTTTATGTAAATTTCAGTGATTTTATGATTCTTTCGGTTTTTACTAAGTAAAACAATTCAAATAAGTACACAGTTTATTTCTTTATAACATTTTACATAGATGGTAGACTATTGATAAACGATGGTTCTGTTTTAAACTAGTTTTGCGTTTAATAAAAATACAAAAAGAACTATTTAAGAAAAAAACTGTATTTTTAATTGTTGATTATAAAATGTGATAATAAATTTAAATTATATATCATTGAAATCGTTATATTCTGTAGTTTTTAACAGTATATTATTTATCAATTTAAGTATTTGCGCACTGCATATCAACATTTCCCACTAAAAAATCTCCTGATTTCGACTTGATCACATACGAGGTCGCTAAGCATCTCCCCAAAAAACATTTATTCTTCTCACATATATATTTAATTCCATACTTCGCCTCTCATACTTTCCGCTGCAGTGGAAGCTCTCTGTAATAATAGTTGTACTCAAACCTGGTAAGCCATTAGAGCACCCCTCATCCTATAGACCTATCAGTCTTCTCCCTTTCTTTTCTAAAGTATTTGAAAAACTACTCCTAAAAATAATTAAACCGGTCATAGCTAAGACGAACATTATTCCAAACACACAGTTTGGTTTTCGTAACAGACATTCTACAATCCAACAAATAAATCGTTTAACAGATACAGTCACCTCATCACTTGAAAATAAACAATATTGCACTGCTGTTTTTTTTGGACGTTGCGAAAGCATTTGACCGAGTGTGGCATGATGGTCTTCTTTTTAAACTAAAACAAATTCTACCTCCATACTACTACATACTCTTTCAGTCTTACCTTGATGAACGACAATTTACAGTACGTTACCGCACAACTCTTTCAACCATATCTGAAATAAAAGCAGGGGTACCTCAAGGTGCTATTTCTGCTCCTCATCTCTTCAACATATTTACATCCGATCAACCTACCCATCTAAACACAACCGTAGCAGAATTTGCCGACGATAAAGCAATCCTTTCTGT